ATCATCTCATCACTTATTCCACCTGGCCAGCCCTGTTTATCACGTCATGGTCACTTAGGAAGGGTGGTGGCCCCAAGCAAACTGGGGTGCATCTGTTCTGAGCTACCTGTTTAGGCCACGTTTTGCTGGGAAGGAACTGAATGGAGAGTAATGCTTTGGGGTTTTTTGAGGACATGTCTGTATGCCACTGCAATACCTTCTGACCACTGTGAGCTCCAGATTTTTTTTCTGATTTTATTGAATAGTTGCCCCTTCATTTCTGTGGCATTGAATTGTTTTCTAGGTAGATGCTATGTGCTGTCAGCCACTCCAGGTCACCAACAGCTTCAATTGGCTTTACTGTCTTTTATGTTGCTGTATTTCCAGCCAAGCTCTGTGAATAATCATGGCATTTTGTTGTGGTCAAAGCACAGTAAGCTCAGGCTTTGCACCTGCACTCAGGAGCTTTGCTGTTAGTGACTAATTCTTTGAGGACTTTCTTTCCAGAGGCTCTGTGACAAGTTTCAGTGCTCTCTTGAAAGGTGCAGCCACCTGAGCTGGAGAAGGTCCAGGCTGGTATTCTTTTCTGTAGCTGGATCCTATTCCCAAGTTTGATGAAGGACTGATGCCAACACTGATGCTCAAACCCTGGAGCAGAAGCTGCCTACTGAGCTGCAGCACACAGAAAATGTCCTTTGGGAAATAACCACGTTGGGGATCGCTGCTGTTCTGTCTGGCTGTTGCTGTGCACTGGCACAGTGTTCCTGTGTTCTTGCTGAGCCAGTTGAGAAATGCACAGTACAGGCCATGCTGTAGCACTGCTGATTCTGTGCTTTTCTGCTGCTTGGTTTTACTCAAGATCACTTATCAGAGTGACTCTTTGGCTGGTTTGTTCCCTCGGCTGGTTTTAATTCTGTTTGGTGAGCCTTCTGGACACAGTGTTGATATGCACATACAGCACTAATTAAGTGGGGATCATGAAGTAAATTTATTTCTATAACCCAGAGAAAAGATGTTCAGAAGCATTTTTATACTCTGCTCTTTCATTAAGAATATGTACTCATCAAAGCAAAGTGTTTGTGGGAAGATTTTTATAAATAATGTCTTGGATCCAATTTTGATTAAACCTAGAGAGCTGCTGGATCAACCTCCTGAGTAACCAGCTACTGTTATTTAAGGTAAAAGTCTTGGGTTCAATTTCCTCTTTAAAATCAGCAGACCAGGAACTTGAATCCAGAACAAATTCTAAAATAAAAATCCTTATCTTTCCTTCTTCCATACTTTCACAACCTAAACCTCATCTTTTCCACAGCTTTTAAAGAAAAGCTTTGCTTGGCCTAAAAATCACCCATACAGAGCTCCAAGAACCAGGCTGAAAAGTTAATTGCAGCTTCTACTCTCCAATATAGCATTATTGATTGGAACACTTATTTAAAAAGTAGATTTTTTCCATACTCCCAAGCTTTATTGCCCAGACTGTCAGATTACTTTCAGAAATTACTAGCTTTGTACTCCACTCATCATTATAAATTCATTACCTGAGTTAATCTTGTTTTGTAGCAAATAAGTATAACCAGTATTATGTTCCTAGAAGTATTTCCAATCTTGCTTTGGCAAAACACTGTGTTTTTAATGGCTTGAAATTGTGTTTGAATCTTGTTGCAATTGAGATAGGAAGAACGCAATCTATAATACTTTTCATTTGCTATATCTACTCAAGTGCCAGCACTGTACTTTATAAAAATATTCCTATACCTGAGGTTATTACTGGCATCTCTATACTGAAGGAATAGAATATGTAGCACCTTTTAATTAGTCACCTACTGGGTTTTTTTCTGTCTTTCATGATGAAGGCAAATTCTAACTTTCTTTTCTGCCTCTTTTCCCAATTCAACCTGGCAGGCAAAGATTCACTACGGGAAATAACACCAAGTGCTTTCTCTGGGGATTCCTTTGCCTTGGCTGCTGGCTTAAAATCTTTTTTCCTAGTTTAAGGTCTGATTGAAAAAAAAAGCCATTCATTTCTAGTTTATGAAATTAAAGTAGAAAAATGCAAGGTGAGGGGGAAAGGCATTATCCAAAGCAAGCCATTAAATTTCACTGATTTCAGGAGTCACAGCATCCTTTTGAGATATTTGCTGTGTTCTAGTCATTGCAGAGGAGACAAACGCTTTAGTTAAGCCAGATGTCAGGTTTAGTGGAGCTGAGCAGTGTCTTACCCTCCCTGCCCAGCAGCACGTGAGTGACTTCAGAGCTCTGTCCCAGATCATGTATAAATGGTACCATGTTAAAGTGTTACCTTCTCATCTACAGATATCAGTATATCTCAGGGCCTGGTCTATCAGCTAAAAGTTTACAACAACCAGTTCAACTACTTGCATAAAAATTAGCACAAGGATGTTGGCACAGCTGCCAATATAGTGAGTTTGAAACTCTAAGACAGATGTGGTTACGCTCTGCATCCTAGTTGCTCTTCTTCCTTCTTGCTAAATACTCTAAATACAGAGACAAAGGTCTTCATTCAAGCTCTCTAATAAGGGAAGTTGTGAAAAAGCTACAATGACATGACTGTGAAGGCAAACAAACACATGCTTTCCAGACATCCATCTATTTGGTGACTGTGTCAGAGCCTCTAAAGACAGACAGAATCATGTTCACCACAGCCTTCATCCATGAGAAATACAGTGTCACTTGAAGGACCTTTTCTAAGCAAGCACAGTCCAGGGAACTCCGTAGCACAAGTCAAAATTGCCACCTTCTAAGATAGTCATGAATATTAAATCACACTCTTAAATGATCATATAGAAGTTGCCCTGCCTTGCTAAATAAATTAACTTTTCCTCTGTATTCAATCTCTTTGGGTGAAATAGATTTGTTGCAGTGGCTTGGTTTTGTTAGTATATCCAAGAGTCAACACAGGTCAGTGAGCAAACTGAATTGTCATCTGTCTGCGTGAACCAGAATTGCTCTCTACATCTTCATCCTCAGTGAGCCTGGGGAGTCAGAACAACCCTGCTCAGCCCAGCCTGTCTTCTCTAATGCACAGGCAAAGGGGCTTTCTGGGTGCTGGTATCAACCATGCTCACAGCAAATGGCTCCTCAGGTACAGCCAGTGCTCCTTGGCTTGTCCAATCTTTGTAGAACCACTTTGCACAGTGAAAGGAAATTGTTTTTCACTTTTGTATTCTCTAACCGACATCAAAAGTGATTTCTGAGATTAATGCAGTATAAAATTTTAACTCCCTTTGTATAGCTTCCCTCTTTTTAGACAGGAAAGGTTTTGTTCTCATCTATAGTGTGATGTACTTTGGCAAAAGCGATCTTATTCTTTTTATCAGTGGCAGCTTGGGATGGGCATAATATTTACAAATGATGCCATGAACAAGTTATGCAAATCACCCAAATGAGAACCAGTAAGCTTTTATATCCTGCCAAACAATCATGTATTGTAGAAATACCACATTTTACAGTCAATTTGAGAAATGTTTTAGAGACTTTAAAACATTAGTGCCCTATTATTCATATTGCTCAACATATATAAGAAGATTTGTTAGTACCATGAGTACAAAAATACAAACCTTTGGAATATGAAGGAAAAAATAACTGTAATAGATTTTAAAAACCTAAGTGACTTTGAAAAGCTTCTTGGAAGTTCATAACACTGTCAATTTTTTAAAGATCTTGTCTAAAATTGAAAACCTGTATGACTGCAAAGAGGCAATCTGTGCCTTTCTACTAGTATAAAAATACCATTTCTTAGTGCATGTAAATGAGCCATTATAAAATAAATCAGCAAAAAGTAATGGATTCTCTTAACCTATTAAGCTCTCCAAAGGGCTCATCTACACTGCAGAATTCACAAGTGTCTGAACTGAGCTAAGGATCAGTGACTGCACGGCCACACTGACTGTGATTTTTAACATTGTTCCACCTTCCCTTTGGCAGTGTCCTGAAAAGCATCATTTTTAGCAGGTTCTGACTACCCAAAGCAGAGTTCCTGGGAATCACATATCCCAGGGGGATTTGCAAGACCCCCTCCTTTCTTAATTCACTGTGGGGCTACTAGTGAAAGACCAAAGAAGCCAATTTAGCTCGTCAGCTTCTACACTATCATTACCTTATTTTTAAGTAATTTATCTGAATTTTGAGGCACTATTGAATTATTTGTAAGCTCTAATTTTTTCATCTTAAAAGGGGTGTGTGGGTTCTTGGATTGGAAAAATAGCACAAGTTTTCCCTTAGAAGGGAAATTGCTAATGACAGTAATAACCCACAAAACTATTCTCTTTAGACTGAAGGAACAAAAGAACATCTTGGGGGGGGGGGCAGGAATAAGCAGCAGCAAATATTTAACTGATAGTAACAGTGAATTTGCGGGAACTGCAAAATAATAACTTTTTTAAAATCTGTTCCCATGAGAGTTTTTTTCAGGCAAAACTGTTTTCATGCCATATTACATCTGAAATCCTTACAACAGCTTCCTACCTGCCCTGTAAAGAGCTAATAGACAGGGCTTGTTTTTTTAAAGCTCTTCTAAGTCTCCATCTCCCTGCTGGACTTTATTTAAAAGGTTACTCTTTATTTAAGAGAGTGCCAGTGCCTCTTTCCTCATGTTTTACTGTTTTTGTACTGAGCGCGATGCCCTTGGTTTGCGTAAGGCAGGTGGTGTGTGTCCTTTTCCTAGAAGTGCACTATTTACTGCTGGGGAAAGGCAGAACTGGGGATTTTCTACCCTTGGTTTTCCACTAAGTCTTTTCGGTTAAGGGCACGCGATAATTTTGGTTTGACCCAAACCGCGACAAAAGCACCTGGGCTGGGCGAAGCACGGCCAGGCCCTGCCGGCTGTGGGCACACGGGGAGGGCAAGGGGGGACATTTCAGAGGTAAAAACCAATGCCCAGCATTAAGTCTGAGGTTGGGAAGAGGGGGTGAGGGATGCCCGTTCACACGGTAAAAGCAGTGTGGGGAAAAACGTTGTGTGTGAGGGGCATCAGGACAGTTGGCGGGTGAGGGGACGGGAGGGGCCATCTTGGCCCTCAGGCCGGAGACGCGTCCATGGGCAACCGCTGGAAGTGGGACCTGTCCCTTTCCAGAGCCTTCTCCTCGGCAGGGCCCTGGAGGAGCAGTGCCAAGGGGGTAACTGAGCCCAGTGAGGGGTTTGTGTAGTGCAAATCTTTGTGTAGTACATTTAAATATTGCACCTCCTTGTACCCCGAGGGACCACAGGGCCTCTCTAATGGCGTCTTCTGCACTTTTCCATGTTCATAAAATATCCTCCCACATTGTTGCACGGGGGTGTTGGGTGTTCCCAATCCAGTGAGACCCCTGCCCACTCTCCTGCCCATACCAGCCATGTGTTTGCAATACCTTCATTTGTTAGGTCTAAGTGTTGGGGCCAAATGAGAACATTACCTCTCTATGAAGCACCCCAAAAGTTTTTGGCACTGAGGAAGTAACTATTGCACTTAGATCTGCTGGCAGTTATATTGTGAGCTATTTCACCAGTGCTGTGGCATGTGCAATATATATTGTGCGTGTTCCAGAGACAGGAGGGATGATGAATGGGTAATGTGTGCCCTGCTTTCTGCTTCTGTTGATAAGTGACTGATAAAGCTGACAAATAGCTGGATTAAGTAAACAGAGCCTACATAACTCATTCAAAGCGCATAACTGTTTACAAATTATCAATTGTTATCTGCACAGTTGTGAGTTAGGAATGATGTATCCCATTCCGGTGTAGAAATAATGGGACAGTGATTATGTGTATCAGGTATGTGAACAGTAAAACTGGCCCTCTGACAGCGCTCATCCTCAGGACAAGGACTGGCAAGAAAAAGAAATGTTGTTTGGACCAAGTGCAGCAGTTTTTGACTCCAGAAAAGAACAAGAATCTGAATACAATAGAGGCTTCGGGATTTGGCTCCTAAATACAATCAGAATAATTTTTAAGCTCGTTTAGAAGCTATTATAACTAGTTACTACTCAAGGACCAATTTCCATCTCATTCCCATGAGTAGTGTTTGCAGAAAATGTAGAATGTGTGTCTTTTTATTAGAACAGGAAGAAATGCCTGCTAATATAATACCACTTCATTTCATAGTTCACTGTAGAATGAGAATGGGATTTCAGAGCTGCTGATGTTTTAATCTCATGTTTCCTTGTCCAAAGTAAAAAGCTGTGTACAAGCAATGTCAAGTTAAACAGTTTTAGTTCATCAGTGGCTGTGTCATATTTGTAGCACATGTTAAAGGTGGGGGAGGGTTTATGCTCTGCTCTGTATGATCAAGTGCTTGCTTTTAATTTAGTGAGTCATCTCTGCAACATCCTGATAACAAAACATGGCTTCAGATTCCTGAGATAGCACTGAGTGCCAATTGCACATCAGAGGGAAAATAACTTGGCTTGCAATAGCCTGGATTGATCCACAAAGAAAGAGGTTATAAACTGTAATGGAAGTGCTGACACAACCAAAGGCGATAATACACTTCAGTACAGCTCTTAGCGAGAGGGTGCCCGCGGCTCTCAAGGGTCTCGCTGCGGCCGGACCACTCGTGCTGGAGCAGAGCTTTCAGCGGGGAATTGAGGTGATGCGTGAGAGCTCATGGGTGCGCTCCCTCTTGGGGGTTTGGCACCCTCTGCTGTCCAGTTTTTGAACAAAAAAACCCAAAAAAAACCCCCTAGAAATTGGACTATGCAAGAGACATAAAGGAGCAAATCAAAGCCTTAACTGAGTAATTTTGGCAATCAACCCCTCGCACTGTCTTCCTGCAGCAAACAGTGAATGTTAAAACCAAATATGTTTTTCTTGCTTCACAATAGTAGTTGCATCATTGCATTGACTCTGTTTCTCACAAACAAGCTGACCGAGCCTCGGCTCCTGTTCCCACTGTAAGGCTTCCTGACCATTCAGGTTGGATGCAAGCAAAGCACAAAGGCTCTGGTGCTGGAGGGGTCTCAGATATGCAAGGAGAGGCTTTTTATGCCTCAGCAAGGTCTCTGTGCAATTGTCACAGAGTTAACACAACCCTTCCACAGTGGAAATGCAGTGGAAACAAGCGGGTTCATACCTAACATCTGGCATGACTGTTCTTGCTACACGAGCATCTTGTGCTGCAGCTGATAGTGCTGAAAATTGCGTAGGGCACCTTATGCATGTTTTAGCTATTTAGCTAAATGTTTATTCACTCCAGTTTTTTTTGGAAACAAGTAACAAATGCTTTCTTTGACAGAGAGACACAGAGCTTCGCTTCTGCAACAGAAACATGGAACACCTGGCTCTGCAGTAAGGGGAATTTAAACCTAAGAGCTCTGGAAAACAGGAGGCCCGTTTCTATTGTTTGACTATCTCCACTGAAGAGCTCCTATATTTGATTGACAAGGTAAAAAATATTCTGTATAGTAGGCATGGCAGCCTGTAGGAAACAGCCGCTGTTTGTTCCTTATGTATTTCACTTTTTGGATCTGCATTTGCACACTGTATTCAAGATAAAAAATAGAAATTTATCAACCAGATCTGCAACACACACAGTGCCAGTCTTCCCTTAATAGGACACCAGAAAACCAAAGCTGTGCTTCCCATTAGAGGTCCTTCAATGGCTTCAATTATTAAACGGTTTCAGTTATGGCTTTATGAGTTTTCAGTTATCTGTGGCCTCAAGTATGAAATCCATTGCAAAAGTAGGACAAAGCACTGTTCTTCTGAGAGCACAGAGAGCTAGATCCTGACAGACACTGCTGCATTCCCTCTCAGGTTAGCTCAGGTTCTGAGTCATGTGCCTCTGGCAGTGGCCTGGACTCCGGAACATGTAGTGAGGCACGTGGTGTGGTTCTGTACAGCCTGGGGGTGCCTCCCCTGTACCAGCCAGGGCCAGCACCCCCTTGCCCTGCATGCCCTGGAGCTGTGTGCTTCTCAGGGTACAAGTTCAACTGAAGGCTTTTCTCCTGTGCCTGTGCCTGTGCCTGCTAATGTCCACTGTGTCCCTAGGGAAAAATAATTGGAGAATGCAGCTATATGGCAAATTGCTACTTGTTCCTCTTATGTTTCACTTCACTCCAGCAGTCTCCATGCTGCTTCCTTAACAAAGCATAAATGGATTTACTAATCAACTGCTTTTCTTTCCATACCCACTCTGCTTCTCCTCACATCTTCTCAGACCGGGGATTTTAGCTAAAAACTCAGAATGCTCATACTCATTCCTATTAGAAGAAGAAGAAAATACACTCATTGTAAGAAATTCCACTTTTGGAAATAGCTTTGTTTTTCTTTTTTTTGCTGCAACAACCACAATGTTCTAAATAGATTGCAGCTTTTCACATTCAGTCTCAATAGGAAATAAAATGGAGGAAGTGCAGAAGGCAGCACTGGCATGATTTGCATATAGTCTTTGAAAACAAACATCGAGTAGTGGCAACTGAGAACCAGCTTTATATCAGGCTCCTGCTGCAGAAGTGTTCAAGTCAAAGAAAGAAAACATGACCTTGTGGAAAGATAAACCTCAATCTAGTGTTTAGCAGGAAAAAAAAATAAAAAGAAACTGTTTATTTTAAAAAGGAAAAAGAATTAGATAGAAACCTGAGTGGTGGGAAAATGCTAAATAAAACTCAGAATCCTTATTTGAGATCTCCAGTGGGTGGAAGCCACACTACCCAGTGCTGCCTGTGCATGGGGCAGTCTGGTGCTGAGCTATATATTCAACCACAGATTGGTTTCCCCAAGCATCAGCCAAGACATAGTTTTTATTGATTTATTTTGCTATCTTCCCACTGCAGTGATAGGATGACAAAAGAACCACCTGTGGGTATCCTAATATATCTAATGCCAGCGGATTTTCAGGTTGAATAAAAACAATAAATCTTTCTAGGCATAAAGGGGAGACTGCAAGGTAAGTTAATTTGGGAAACTAAAGAGCATGATTTAGGAATATTGGGTTTGTTTGAATGGATCAGACTGGTCCTCCTGGCTTCCTAACTTCTCCTCAGAGATAGTTTTTAACAAATGACACACAAGAAGACAAAATAAGCCCCAAAATAGTTAAGTGTTCAGTGACACTTCAAGGGACTGGCCTGCCTTCTGACAGAGTAGCAATAACTGTGTTACACCAGAGAGCAAAAGGTCTGATTCTCACTGTGTTATGCACATTACAAGTGTTCCAAAAATTAGGTGGCATTTCCTAAAGAACCCAGGTACAACACAGGAACTCATGGCTGTGCTGATCACTTCATCTATCATAGGACACAGCCTGTATTTTCCCTGAGGCAGTACAGTTAGATTTGTTGTGCAACTTCCTCTTAAATTAAAGGAAAAAATGAATAAACATGTAAACCTGTTCAGCTGCTTAATATATTCACAAATCAAGGCTAAAACAGTAGCTAGTCAAAGATGGTGTAGAGTCTAGCACACCAGAAAACAAAGTTCTCTTTCTCTGCAGTTCTTCCAAAGGGTTTTCCTGTCTCCTCACTTCCATGAGCAGGCCAAACTTGTAGGCTGCTCCTAAAAATGCATATTAAGCCATCATGGTAATATAAGGCTCTTTGGCTCTAATCTATTTCAAACCAGTGATTTTACACTCTTTTGAGCTTTCTGCTAGCAAAAGCTTCCAGATTAACACCCCTCTGAGACTGTGCTACTCTGCTTTCCCCTGAACAGGTCCAGCATGGGCTGCAGTGGCTGAAGTTCCCTACCAGTGCTGCTTTGCTGATGTATCTCAGCCCTGACCCATTCTTGGCAGTGCATCTGGGAAGGTCAGTTTTTACTTTATAGGAATTTCAACTCCTGGCATCTGCATTGTATTTCTGTGTCTAAATTTTGATTCTGACTACAGGAATGTAGGCAATCTTCTTAATCCTGATCTTAAATTTTTGATCATTATACTACAAAATGATATATACCTGAGCACTGCTATAAATGTAGCTCAGGGATGCAGTTTTGAATGATCTGGGAAAATGTCTAATATATTTACACTTCTTTAGATTGCTTAAAGGAGCATAAATAAAGGCTCAGTATATCTGCCCCTGAAACCCCAAATAATATTGGCAGTGGTTCCTCTGTAAAGTCAAAGCAGTAACACAAACATGCCGACTTCTGCACCTTTCTCAGACACAGGAAAAAAATGGAATTGAAGGTATAAGGGCTCAGGAGATATTTCAAGGAAAGCCAATAAAAGAGAAAAGCTAGAAAGTGACACTCACCAATAACAGGATTCTTAAAGCCTCAAATTCGATAAACCCACAAACCAAAAGAAATTAAGCAGGCTGTGCCACTTCAGGACATCATGCTATGGGATTTTAACAAGATTCATGGGTATTTAAAAGTAATGGCATAAATTGGTTATTTAAAGTCAATATTGATTTGTTGCCAGATTCTGCATATCAACAATTGCACTTGAGTGTCCATTTACTTTGCTCAGAAATAAATATTCCTGCCCAGCTGCACGTGCTGGTTGGAAGAGAATCAGTTTTCACCACTGGCAAGGGGACAGGTTGTTATCTCAAGCCACATGGTTCATTGATTTATCAGTGGTGGTGTAAATACAGAAATTTATAGGAATGCTGTCAAAATCATTTACTTAAAGCTTTTTTTGGAAGAAGAATGATAGCATGCTCCCAGGTAAGAGTGCAAGAGGCTTTTTGAGTATTTGGGCCTATTAGCTGGTTGAGGTAAATTATCTCCATTTGATGTTTCTGGCTGGCAGAGTTAATTTATTTGTACAAAAGTGTTTAATGATGCAGGGAGATTGTTATTGGTGGTTTAATTATTGTTTTGATCAGAGCTTCTGTATGGGTGGTAGTACTCCTAATAAGATAATCATACTTTTTCATCTGTTAATGAGTCTTTGGAGTATTCCCAACACAGTTTTAAGTCTTAGTTGTTTTCCCGCTCTTGGTTTAATTTCTGTGTTTCATTTGGCTTGCATAATGAAACAAGATGGGCTGCTTTACTGCTGTTTATAATCAGTCTTCCTAACAGGGTTTTACTGTGCTTGGGTTGATCGGGATTTTCCAAAACTGCATAATCATTTCTAATCTGGGATGGGGGGTGGAAGAAATCACTTTGCCTGTAAATTGAAACAAATTAATTGGGTTTTTGTTCTTAGGTAGATTATAATATTGGTTTTGCACAATCTCGTTGTGGTATCTAAACTTTATCACTAAAAAGCATGTTGTCTGCCTCTCTTTTCCCTCTATAGCTCTTAAAAAAAAACCCCAAACATTCCCTGTATCTTCTCCTACAAAGACTTGTGTACAAGTGTTAAGTTGAGTTGTATGAGAAGCTGGAAAGTAGATAGAAATGTTAAGAGGAGAACCATAAGAGAGCAAAGTTAATATCATATAATCACAGGAGCTTTGCCTTTCTCTGCAGATGAATATTCTAGTTCACATAGTATCTTCTTTAAGGAGTATTTATATACTCAATTTTCACTCAATTTGTGACCATACTTGCTTTCTCTCTGCTTCACTTTTTATTCTGAGATTATTGGATTACTGGCTCTGATTTGTTTGGAAGTCAGCATTGGCTCTCTTGCAGTACTGTGCATGCAGAGACAGCCCACACTGCAGAAATATAAAAGCCATGGGGTCATGAAGAAGCAAGTGGTGCCTGAGTGTTCTGTTGCCACAAGCACAAACAATATTTCAGTCCTCCATAATAGTTATACAGGTGCCTACTACAAAAATTATACTGGAAGAAGGTGACAGTTAGCAAATTCCTTCTTCTCCTCTGGAATTTTCTCGTCCTCTTTGATGCTGTGGAAAAAGAAATGTACTTAAGTAGTAACAGAAGTGCTCCCAGTCCAGCTTTACCTTCAGAGCTGGATGGTGGCTTTTCATTAGGTCATTGTCAGACTCTCTTTGGAACTGCTTCACTGTTTCTTATGTGATGGGATGTTTCACCTGTGCCATCTCACAGAGCTTCCAAAGGCAACAGGAGGTGCATAGAGGTCTGGTAACATTCTGGAGATTAGTTACCAAAAAAGGAAAAGAAAGGACCAGAATGAACCAGATTAGAGAGGAATAGGACTTCTTGTATTTCATCAGGTATCACAGATCTTCAGAGTTAGCAGTAATTTCCTACTTGTTACACAGTCAGCTGTGGAAAGGGCATCAATCACATCTGCTTATAAGGTACTTGGGAAAACTGCAGGATTACTCACAGTGTCTTTCCCCATCTCTCCCAGGCTTTAGCCTGAAAAGTTATTCCCTCTCTGTTGTGACCTGTATAATGTGTCTTAGACATGCAAAGCATTCAACAGTGTTAACTAAGAAAAAATTATGAAGATTTTCATAGCATGGCAAGTATCCTAATATCTTAATTATTAACATGTGAACCTGGGGAACACAGCTAACACTGGACCTCATATATAGGGAGCTGTTGTACAAGTACAAATTAAAGCAAAACCTCTCTGAAAAGCTAAGTCTAAATAGACTAAACAAACTTCAGGGCAAAAATACACATGTAAAGTGAACAGCATCATGACTGGCAAAAGTCAGGTTTCTTTCACAAATTTGTTTTTCTTACAATGATGGGAATCAATCTGTAGAGCAAAATAAACCAAACAACCCAAGTGAGGTACAATAGACACTAAAGGGAAATAATAAAAATTGGATGTACAGCAGTCAGGAGAAATGAAAAAGAAGCAAGAATGCAGATGGAAAAAGCAGTCAAGCATAAAGGACCATGTGCAAAAGCTGAATGGGAGAGAAGGTGGAAGCTGGGTGTCCCATTCTGTGGGGACCAGTTTCCAGATGCTTTCTGCTGCTGCTGCTGCCAGCTGAATGTCTAACTAAAGGCCCTGTAGCCTTTTTTTTTATCACTTACTCTAAAATGACTGAAAAGAGAGTTACATGGACCCTGAAGCCTCCTTGTGCAAAGTCTGGAGTCTGGAAACCAGAAAGCAAGCAGTTGGGGAAGGGAGATATGGAGCAAACTGCTTGGATCTGTTTCTTCCCTCCATCCTGCAGCTGAACCTGATCAAACACACCTTCATGCCAATGAAATGCCTTTGAAAGAGAGCTGTCTCTAATATTTGAAACAAAGGGAAGGGTTGCCTCAATAACTATTAACATCCCCAATGTCCAAGCTGCCAACACATCTGGCACCTGCTGCTAGTGGTGGGAGCATCTTTAACAAGGCCACTGAAGGAGAGAGATGGTCTGAATTGCACTTGTGTGCCACCAGCACACTTCTGCAACAGCAAAGGGAAGAGTTCGAGAGGCTCTTCCCTTGTATTTGTGTTATGGTTCCTTTGAGGATTAACAGATTGTCTCTCGCAGGGCTGTCAGCTGAGCCTTTCACCAGCTTGAACACTGACATAATTTTCAGGCTAACCAAAGTCTGAAAACAGGAAGAGCAAAGCAGAAGTCCAGGGATGTCACTCAGTCACCCACAGGAGGTTATTATCTGGGTTAGAGTTAGTCCAATTCACTGGCCACAGAAATGGCAACTGCAAATACTTCAGTGGAGGTCTCTGGTTATTATCCCAGAAGTATGAGTTGTTGCCCTTGGGAACAGTGGAGAACATTGAAGTTTAAAAAGTCTTTGGCAAATGTGCTTTAACACTGGAGTAAAATACTGTATGTTTTGGAAGACGACATGGAGTTCTAAGCTAAACACCAACAGCATTTGCTGAGACAGTCCCTATAGTTATGGAAAACTTAATGAATTCAAACCACTGTGTCGAGTCAGACTAACTCGAGTTGGTCTCAGCTCCCCTTTGGGCATCCTGGGCTGTGTTGATCTGCCCTGCAGCTCTTGTAACATCCCTATTTCCTTCACAAATACCAACTTTTGCCCCATTAAGAGGTTGAGTTGCAGACACGGGTCACAACGGGCCTAAGGATTTCAGAAGTAGTCTTGAATTTCCTATGTAAGGCACAAATAGTAATTCCAGTAAGACCAGTACCTGGTACTCATATGTCTGGGTTAGCTCTAGTCTCACAAACTTTACACGAGCAAATCTTCTACTCTAGAAGTAGGGACAAAACGTTTTAACCAACTTGTAACTAATTTGAACTGATGTATCTGTAACTCAAAGCAATCACCTCTGTGTTTTGCTCCTGCAGACACTTGCAATATTTCTGTAACTGAATTATGCCCACTGAAGGGGAATGCTTTGCTGCATGAGTTACATTTCAGTACAGGCACAGAATTGCAAACCCACACTGGTCCTGTTCTCAGCACAGGAATGTAGGGCTTGAACCTGCTGTCTGTGCACAAAAACGTTCGGTGGAGTCAGAGGGACTTCTTGGCACTTGCAGTCTATAGGAGTGTGGTCCTACTTAATTTAACAAAACAAAACCAAGCTGAATGTTTCACTGAAATGAGCAGAAACCCCTGATTGGGGAAACTGTCTGGCACTTAAATCTGGATATTGATTACCTAACACTGTTCACACATCTTGAATACTTAAGCTTCAAAAAAGGTTTTTCTTAATATGAGAGAACCACAGAAGGAAAAGGTAGCTAGCAATATATGGGACTTACTGGTTCAAGGACTGAAGATTTAGGGAAAATTTAGAATCTGTCTTTAATCACTTCATGTAAAGAAGGAAAATAAATTTTTAATTATTAGGAGACTGATGATCCTAAAAGACACGTGGCTTATTTTACATGAAGCATTCCAATTTAATTTTGTAGAAGAAATGGCCTACCATAGTCTGCATCAAAACTAAAACTAGTTCTAAAATACAGTAGGAGGTTGTAGAGAAACAGGTGAACCATGGCAATGGTAGCTTTGGTTGAAGAAA